GTTTGTGCATACCCTAACAGGCATAAGCATTCAGCCAATCTTTGGATAGCTAAGTAAGAAAATTAATATATTATAGTAGTAACTAATCCATCGGCTTTCATTTTTTCGAAAGTTGGGAAATTTTGCTGGTGGGATTGGGAAAATTTGGATTTCCTCCCACACTGGTTTTTCTTTTCGCTAGGGCTTCTTACTTCTTCTGCAGTAAAACTTAAATGCTCACGACGATATTTTGTTGCAAGTTGCTAATAAAAAGAGTAAAAAGCGATGAATTTCAACTTCCAAGCAGCAAAATGTAGCAGTTGTAATTTATTGTTATTAAAGAATGATTTACTAGGGAAGGGATTCTATTTTTTTAATATGTTAACAATTTTTAATAATCCTAGTTTTAATAGAATGAGTTTCAGTTAAATTAATGAAGGCATTATTTCAATATGGCCATTGCAGACCGCCTAATCAAAAAGAGTGAGATATACGGTTTATTTCGTTAAGCTCTTCCAATCTTTAAATTTAAATAAAACAAAGTTCATGTGAGATAACATCGGAATTTTTTATTCGTCAAATGTCGTTCAAATGTCCGGCATGGCTTCTCTGAGTGGAGCGCATCCAATTTCCAATAACTTTGGCGCATAAACCAGGATGAATTTGACCAATGGCATGGGTTTTGTTGGCTTCGAGGATCGCTGTGGTTTGTGGGTTATTCGCATACACCTGCGACTCAAAAAAACCCTACAAGAAAAAGTCTAACGGGGCATGGTGACCATGGCATAATAAAAATCAACCAGTAAGTCCATTCCCACTACTTTCATTCATAAATTCACGGAAATAGGAAATAAAGTCACCGGAATTAAACAGGGAATATCTTTCTGACACGCTTATATTTAGGTAAAGTTATTTTGGGGTCAACTTTGTGCGGAAAAATCTTCATATGAACATACAAAGCCTGTTCAAAAAATAAGGTAAATTTTCGAACGTTCGGTATTGTGGAGAAACATTTCATGGCTTATGCATTACGATAATGCCGCTGCTCACTCGTCATTTCTTGTTTGTAATTTTTTTACCAAAAACAACAACATAATAATGCCTCAGCCACCGTATTCACCAGATTTGGTCCCCGAAAACCTTTTCCTATTCCCAAGATTGAAGAGGCCCATGAAAGGACGGCGTTTTGGGATGATTGAAGAGATAAAAACAGAATCGCTGAGAGAGCTCAAGGAAATGCCAAAAAGTGCATATCAGAACTGCTTTGAGGGGGAATACTTTGAAGGGAACAAAATGAAAATTGATGAATCAAAATTCACCTTATTTTTTCAACAGACCTTGTATATTTTTCTTGAAAAAATTACTTTTCTACGTCTTCATAGAGAAATGACAAGAACTGAAGATGGAACAAACAGTAAAACAAATATCTTTGATTTTTTTTATTGAGCGGTTTTCATGAAATTTAAAGTACATAGGACTTTAATTCTGGTTATAATTCAAATATGCATCCAATTTCCCAAGAATTTATGTTTCATTCTCTAAAAAATGTTAACCTCCTTCAAAACAACATTATAGGGTTGGCAACCCTGTTCATCTGTAACATATTTGGTGTTAAAGTCCATTCATTTAAGTTACTTGAAAATTATATGGAGTGAAATAGGAACAGCTTTAATAACAATGTTATCATTTTTTAAGTTTACAGAAATCTATTACTTAGTGATGATAAAATTTTAAGTAAGCTTTCAACAAACGAATTAAACAAAATTTAGTCATGATTACAGAAATTTGAAAATATGGCGACACGACTAATATACAGGCCTATTCAAATTCATTTTTGTACATGAGGATCTCGTAAACAATAAGAGATAGTGTCGGTTAAATTGTGGCAAAGTTGCGTATTTTAGAGACTCATTCAATGATGAAAAAAAATTGAATATAGCTCTTTTGGTTGTGGAAATTACATGAAAAACAAAAAAATCCCAAATTATTTTTTTGCCTGTATTTTCTTTATTCGCAGACATATTGAAAATCTGTCCACATTTTGCTGTTGGCACTTGATGTGGGTTATCAGAATATGTCCATGAATCTTTTATACAGAGTGTCATCTGACTTGGGCCACCTCCTGTCTGTTAAAAAAAAAATCTGTCTGTTTTTCCGTTAATCAGCTGTCGCCCCCATACGAACGACAACTCTCAGAAGTTGAGAAACTTGTGCGAGCTAAGGACCAACGAGGTCTTACCTTTTAACGTGTGATTCCTAACACGTTGTTATGTGCATTTAAAAATGCAAAGATGTTTGCATCTTTGTTATAGTTTTTGGATCGTCGACGTTCACTTCATACTGAAACATTGAATTTTATTATAATTTGGTGAATTATTCCCTTTTAAATTACGGCCCTGGAAATTTGTTGACTGAGTTAAATAAAAACACAATAGCAACTTTCACGTCTCCCTATGTACCGTAGAGTTTTTTTTCATTTTTAGGTACCTACCTATCCATATTTTTTCACATTTTCATTACTCTGACCATTTTCAACAATTAACTTCGAATAAGAAAACCTTTTATGATTATCTGAAACATATCTACAACAAAAATATATTATATGTGTTTTGATAAGCAGAAAAGGAAAAGGTAGCAATAATAAAATCCGAAACGAACACTATAATTGTAATGAAAATTGAAATGAAGTCATTTATATAGACACACAAAAAAAATTAATGACGCCATAAATGTTCGAAATGGAGTCTTTCCATTTCGAGAAATTTTTGAACTCATTTTTTCATATAATTTATTGCCTTATTACACTTTTTTGCTGCATTGTTGCGAAAGCATTCATAACCCTCAATCTCAGGTCTTCCACATTTTCTATCTCTCTGCCAGCGTAAATTCTATTTTTCAATGTCCCCCATAGCAAATAATGGACCAATAAGATGGTTTGCAAGATCACCAGAGCTTAATATTTTCAATTATTTCTTATGGGTGACATTGAAAAATAGGATTTACGCTGGCAGAGAGATATGAAATATAGAAGACTTGAGAAACAGGATTTAGAAAAGCTTTCGCAACAATGCAGGGTAATAAATAATATGAAAAGACGTGTTCAAAAATGTCTCGAAATGGAAGGACTCCAATTCGAATATTAATTGCACCATTAATTTCTTTGTGTATATAAATTACTTCATTTCAATTTTCATTACAATTATAAAAACTATTTATTTTAGATATGTTTTAGATAATAATGTTTTCTTATTCGAAGTTCAGTGTAGAAAACGTTCAGAGCAATGAAAATTTTAAAGAATATGAATAAGTATCTGAAAATGAAAAAAAAACTCTATGGTACATAAGGGAGACATGAAAGTTGATGTTGTGTTTTCATTTAACTCGGTCAACAAATATCCAGGGAAGTAATTTAAAAGGGAATAATTCACCCAATTATAATAAAATATTACCAAAACATCTCGAAATATAAAATAAAATTCAATTTCTCAGTATGAAGTGAACGTCGACGATACAAAAACTACAATAAAAAATACAGGTCCGTATTTGAAAATTCAAAGATGGGGGTGGCCCAAGTCAGACGACACCCTATATAAAAGATTCATGGACATATTTTGACAGCCCACATCAAGTGCCAACAGCAAAATGTGGACAAATTTTCAATATGTCTGTGAATAAAGAAGATACAGGCAAAAAAATAATTTGGGATTTTTTGGTTTTTCCTGTATATCTAGAGAAACCAAAAGAGCTATATTTGATTTTTTTACATCATTAAATAGGCCTTTAAAATACTTAATTTTGCCACAATTTAACCGACACTCTATCTCTTATTGTTTACGAGATCCCCATGTACAGAAACGAATTTGAATAGCCCTGTATAAAAATTGATTAAGTAAAACCATATCAAGGCAATATTAATTAATTGATGTAATTGTTAATTTTCAAGTAACATTTTATTCATCTCATTTTCAACATTTAATGTTAGAATGTATAACAATCCTCTCTTTTAGAAGCATGAAGCATTTTTTCAATATATTTTGATTTCCAATAATAAACAGAATTAGGTATATGTAATAAAAAACAACAAAAAAGGAAAAAATTGATAAACATCAATAAAATCCCTTCAGGCAAGTGTTTGGAAACATTTGATGTCAATTTATTTTTCTATTTCTTTATATTTTCCTGGTGGTAGATTTTTTACTAACAAATCTGCATCAGTTAAAATCTCACTCAGTTCAGTTTTCTGTTTAATAGGTTCATATGTTAGACTTGCGATAAATGAAGGGTAATTGATTTCATGTCCTTAAATTTGAATTAAAAAAAAATAGACACAACTCCCATAATTATAAGTGCATTGACTTAGGCAAGACGCCTCAAATAATTATGCCATCACTCCAAAAATAGAATGATTTTCCAGCTTTTTTTATCGATAGTATCCAAGGAGACCAAGACATTCCCTTTTCCAAACAGTATTGATACATACCCAATACCACATTTCAAAAAAGTATTGAATAAAATTATTTACCTAAAACCGAGACAAATGGACTTTACCAAAATTAAATCTTAGGTTATCGATATTTTTGACAAGTGAGGTTATGCTCAAATTGAGGTTATCCTAGTTTACATTTTCAAGATTGTAAACAAAAAAATATGAAAAATTTTACATCAACAAACAAAAATTGCTGATTCATTACTCAACAAACTTGACAGAAATTAAAAAATTAGTTAGTAGGCGACAAACTGAACCTCCATTACGAACTAAACAGAAAGAAAGGAAATGTAAAATTACATCACACGCAAATATGTCATAAAACAAATATCAAACAAGATTTATGTACTAAAATTGATGAATGAGTCTTTATCCTGGAGCATTTCAACACAAATTTGGGTACTTACCTGTTCATTTCAACACAAAATTGAGAACCTAACCAAGCTTTACAAGATAACGTCGACCTTCACTCGATGATAGCAAATGGCCGCTCGTTTCGGGAGTGCATATACATATTTCACTGATTTTCACAATTTGCCCGAGACATTTACACTCACTTTGTAGGTTCGTATATTTACATTTTCTATCTTAACAGACTTGAAAAACTACTAGAACGATAACTGTCAATAATTTTTCAGTTGTGAAATATTTGGTAAAAATAGGTTAGCCGATAAATAACCTACAACTTCGTTTGCGTTTGCGATACGAGGACGACCGCCAAAACAAAAGATAAAATATCACTTCCGCTGTCAAACTTCGGAGCGGGAAATTCAAAATTGAAGATGAGCACGTTCTGCGGGAAAATTCAAGAAATCCTGCAAATCAGCGTGGATCGTTTTGATGGCGAAAACATGCAATCTGAAGCGTATTTCCTATCGCATTGCCATTCAGATCATATGGTTGGCCTGTGGTCTTATGATTTTCAAAAACAACTTGTGGCAAACAAAAAAAAATTATATGCTTCACAAATATCTTGTGTGATTTTGAGAAAAATGTTTCCTAACATTTCCGATTGCTTGAGAGAATTGCATTTATATAGCCCTACAACAGTACATTTGACAAAAAACAATTTTTCAGTATCACCAATTTCTGCAGGCCATTGTCCAGGATCAGTGATGTTTCTTTTTGAGAGTGGAAATAAGAGTGTTCTGTATACAGGAGATTATAGAATTAGTAAACACGATATTCAAAAATTCAAATTTTTCTACAACTCTGCAAATGAAATTAAAATTATAGATAAAATCTATTTAGACACAACGTTTTTCCTGAAAAGTTATATGAATTTTCCAAAACGTGAGGAGAGCTTGAAAGAATTGTGTGAAGTTGTAGAAGAATGGATAAAAAGAGGAAACAAATTCTTCATTAAACTGATTACAAGTGCTAAATATGGATATGAATATGTTTTCAACGAAATCTTCAAGAACTTCATTATGCCTGTACATGTGAATCAGGATATGCACTCATTTTATTCTCTAATTCCAGAAATGGACCAGTCTGTTACAATGGATGGGTCTTTAACGCAGATACATTGCAATTGTGGAATATCGTTCAAACAAATGTGTAATCTTGAATTGGATAATTTTGTGAAAATTATAAAAATTTCAGCTTGGAGATGGAAACAAGATGACTTAAAAGAAGGTTCATCAAAGTTTGATTCAGAAATTCATTATGTATGTTATTCCACTCATGCCTCTTATGAAGAAGGAGTTGAACTTATACGATTTTTGAAACCAAAAAGTATCGAAGCATGTGTGAAACATAACGACCCCTACGCCAACAAGGAGATGGCAATTCTTATTCAAAACCATTTAGAAGAATTCAAGGAAAAAGAGGAAATCAAGAAGACACCACAACTGTTTCCTATTGAAGATGAAATAAGCACAAAGTGTAGGACTTTTGAAAAATCCTTTGATGACACAGATATTCTCAACTCTCCTCCTAGACCGACAATTGATTTGGACAATACAATAAGGGGTGACGATATGACAGAGTTAAATTGTGAAAATAATTCAAATGGGACTTTATCAGCAATAGTTTCACCAGTTCGAAGGGTGAAGATATCAGAATTCCGACCTTTTGGTGAAACACACGACGACAGAAATGTTTCGGATTTTGAATCTGAAACAGATTGCCAAATAGTAAAAAATATAACTGTACCATCAACTACTTCTCGCAGTAATGAGGAAATGAGAGGAACCAAGGAGAAAAAGTTGGAAGACAGCGAATTATTGAGCATCCTAGGTTTACAATCGGATAACTTTTCTGATGTACCAAAATCCATAGAGGGCATAGAAAATGGGTCAGAATCATTAGAATACGAGAAGAAAGACGATACTCCAGAAAATCTGAGGGATTTAATTGACAATTCTGAAGACTGGAGTGAAAACAAACAGTGGGAGGATAGCGTACTCCTGGCTATAATCAACACACCACCAGAAGCATTTGAAGTGAATGCTGTTAAGGGAAATGAAGAGAACAGTATCATCATGAGTATAATTGATTCGCCTCCGAGTAAGAAAAAAAAATGACAGAAACTTCTAAAACTTTACTGGATGTATATATGATTTTATACAAAACTTGCATATTCTAAATCTTTTATGGATTCAATGGCATTTGTCAACAATTCTTTGACGAAATCTGTTAGAGATGTTCATGTTTCATGGATTTTCGCAGAGACAAATCATGTTTCTGTGAAGGGGGGCACAAATATCGAAAAATATTCCCCTTTGATCACTGGAGAATCAAATAATTAGGTATTGTCAAATCGATTCCTTAAGGGGTCTTTACATTATTACTCCAAAAATACTTTATAGGTGTATAACCTATATTATTAATGATATCAATTCAAAGGTATCCTTGTATTATGTGATACTGCTCATAGTTCAATTTATAACGTTTAGGATTAATATTGTTACGGATTCCATTCAAAATTGATAAAAAAAAATTGCAAATAAGTCAAAATCAGATTAGTTTAATGGAGCTGTTAGGAATCACACGTTGAAAGGTAAAAACTCATTAGTCCTTAGCTCGCACAAGTTTCTCAACTCTTGATGACACTATTTTATATATAAATTTTATATCTAACTAGGTATGTAATAAATAGAAAAATGTAAAGCAAAATTTTAATTGTATTCAACAAAATATATACAAAAATGTTTACTTTAATTACTATCACAATCATATAATCCTTAAATCAACAAGAACAGGATTAAACTTAACAATACTATGACATTACAATAAACTACTCAAACTTACTAACTGCCTTTAAAAAAGCCTTGAAAGCAATAGTTATTCAGATGAAAAATCATAACAGTCAAAATTCAATAGGTAGTTTTGAAATTGGCAGTATCAGTTCATTGAATTATAACAAGTTCAAAAATGTAAGTTTGTGAATTTAGGATGTGTTTGAACATTAAAATCAAGCGAGGACACAACTAAGAAAAGACAAGTTATTTATCTTAGTTCAATACTATTTGCCCTTGTTTATATTTCAAAATAATTTTAAAAATTCAATATTCATATTTTCAAAGAATCTCGTTGAACCGAATTTCTGAGTTCTGTCCTGAGAAATACAATAATATTGTATTGGCCAGACATTTTTCATACATTTAAGGTACTTCTCTAAAATAGGCCAAATCACTGACTGAGTTATGTAACAGATACCTTACAGATAATACAAATAGCCATAATTTTATTTAACCTTCCAGTAGCCGTGCTTTGATAGAGAGGGTTGACTACTGTTCTACATATTTTTCTCTTGATGGAAAATGTATGTAAAAAAATATTCATTAAGAAAATTAATTTTTTCCCAATTCATTTGAAATATAATTCATTGGCAGAAAAAATTAAAGGGGCTGAGGTTTTTGTAAAAAAAAGTGATAATTCAGTGTCATTATTTTTCGGATTTGAAGGCTGTCGATTTTTGGAATTTTTTCCTGACGTTTCGCCGGCGTGAGTGGCTAGCTTCCTTAGAAGTTTATACATCTTCCGATGACTGGATATAAGGCTGCGTAAAGCGTAATTTTGTTAACTCAAGCAAGTTTGATGTGCTAATACCTGTACCTGGATTAGGTAAATTGCGTAAAGTGTGTTTATGTTGACTCAGGTAGTCTAGTGTGATAATACAGATATAAGAACACCAAATTACCTGAGTCAACTTAAATATATCTACCCAACAATCCAGCTCTGACAATATTCAATAGGTGCCAGAAACAGCTTATTAAAATATTCAAAAAAAACTTCATTGTAAGATTTTCATTGAATAGTTTTACAAAAACGCAACACGTGTTTCGCTATAAAATAGCTTCTACAGGCATGTCTTCAAAGACACGTATATTAGAAGATGAGATTTCTTTAATCATTAGCTCGAACAAATTTGTAGGGTAATCGTTTGTCAAGAGGCGACCCGTTGTTAATTGAAAAATACATTTTAGTGCATTATATTTTTAATATTGTATTTTTTTCAGTTAATAAAATTTTAAATCACAAAATGAGAATCCCTTTGATTTGTGTCCGCTTGATTATATTAAAATTGAGCATTTCTAACTAGTACTGCCCTATACGTTTATCACTGATCCCAGGAATCCAACTTGTAAATGACTACTGCATTAAAAAAAAATTGATTACTGAGGTCTGGTCTGAAAGACGGGCGCGACTACTGGAAGTTAAGAATGATTGTTCCTGCACATTCTAGTGAATGAAGCCCACATATCCAAAATGAAAAAAATGTGAAAAGTATTGATTTAATAAGATGGAATCAATATTTTTTAGAATTAAATACAATGAAAATAATTTTATAGAAACCATGACCTGAAATATATGAATAAGATATTTCCTATTTGTCTGAACTCTTAAAATGATTTGAAATTTTTTTGAAATAGCAAACTTTCCCTTAACTTTTCCTTAAAATTTGAATTCGAAAATTTTTTGAAATAGCACGAATTTTCTCCATAATTATATGAATTCCTTAAAATTTTCGCAAGAAAATTTCTGGATTAGAGTACAACTTCTGTTACACACACTCCACTCTGGCAAATTCAGAAGTGTTCTTTAACGCTTTTCGCAGGACATTTAATCAGTAATATGAAAGTATTAACCGTATTCTTACACTCTGAAGAATGAAATTATTATTAAACAGTGTTGGAAATCAACAAAATTTGACAAAAAGATGAATTCTAAATGAGAATCCAGTACTAATCTGCTTTCTCTCTATAAATTGAATGATGAATATCGAGATCAATGGATTGAATTGATTACAAGAAGTAACTGTTTAAAAACTCTTTACAACTTATATCTACCTCATTAAACTAACATTGAAGGCCACTTTGTGTCAACTATATTAGGAAAGCACCAAATGTTAAAACTATTTGGCATTTCAGATTACATACATCTCACGTTACCGGAAATAAAAAACTTTCTTGCCTAAAAATAAACAAAATCAATTCAGTTTCTTCTAAGAACAAATTTGACATAAAATCTATTACTGATAAGGTGTCCTTGGATTAACATTTATCATTTCGCTGGTGCTGAAAATAAAAAGAATGTAACAGAGTAATTAAGATGCAGAAATATTTTTAAAATCAGGAAAGACATGAGAGTTGCTTACCTCTTACCACATTTGATATGAATGAAGAGTAAGGCAATGCCCAATAGAAGGCAGACACAGCCTGTTACGATGTAAGCTATACCTAGGAAAGGATTTTTACCACCCAGCAAGGATGTGGTGCTTAGAATCATTTTTTTCGATCCAGCAAAGGTGCTCACATCATAATCTGAAAAAAATGAAATATTTACTATCAACCCATATAAAATATCAAACAAATGAAATATTTTCGAATGCACTTTTATGCAGACGATAATCAAATTTACTATTCATTTGATCCTAATGACATTGTTGATGCATGTGAACGCATCAATATTGGCCACAATGCATTTGTAATTTCATCTTATTTGATCCTCTAATGACATTGAATATTACTGGAGTTTTATTTCAACACCTCGACACGTGTTCGGAGTATTACTATGGGACACAGTAAATTCATTTTTCTCAACCAGATGTTGCTACACTCTGCAAGCTTATATCATAGCATAATTAAAACCAAAACACCAGAATATCTCTATAATAAAATTAAATTCTGAACTGATGTACATACATTGAACTTGAGGTTTAAAGGGCTTTTAACACCCTCATTGCATAAACCACAACAATATGAAAGATCTCAAAAATTTACAATGAAATTCCGAACAGTTTGAAAGAGACGACGGTTGATAAGTTTAAAGAGAATCTGAAAATGATTTTATTGATGAAACAGAACACTCCTTGATGACTATGTTGAGAATTTGTATTTATTTACTTATTTATTTTTCCGTTATATGGCGCTTTATGAGGTTGAGTGAAAGAGCAGCTCAATTGTATAATCACACAATATTGCTATATAAAGCTGAACTCCACCTATTATGCCAATAATTACTTACTTAAGTTAGTAAAAATTATTTATTATGTAAAATGGAAAATAAAGTCACTAGTATTATTATTATTGTATATGAAATTTTAAAAGAAATACTAGTTGACTTTGTCTATGGATCAATTTTCGAACCATCTGTTCAGTTTTACTCAAATAATGCATATCAATTGAAAATGAAAAAATATTTACTTTTTGAAAAAAAAAACAAATAACTGAAATGTATTCTTTGAAAGATATTTTTTGTGGAGAAGTCAATAATCATGTTTTTTTTGATATTCAACCTTCCACAATCTGAAAAATAAACAAAATTAGGATTCAGGGTAAACTTTTCAGTTTGCCCTTAATTACACCTTAGTAGTTTCTCTATTGATTTAGCTCAGTTTATTTTTCAGATTGTGAAAGGTTAAATATCCATGACAGCAAACTAAGATGATGTTTTCATTAACAGTAGCTCCTATATCATTTGGCTATAATTAATGAGTTTAGCCAGATAACTTCTTGCTATTGAAAATAATACAATTTTGTGTAAGGGCTAGAGTAGGTGTTGGATGGGAAATGAAGTAAGACGGACGTGTACTATAAGTTGAGGTGGTATTAAATTGATTTTTATATTTTTTGTGGATAAGACATACTGTTTCCAAAATAAAGAGACATACCAAGGACAGAATTTTTTGCTTTGTTTTGCAAATAATTCAAATGAGAATGAACAGAGCTAAGGTCAATAAGTACTCAAAAATAGAAGATGAACTTACTATATTCAACTATTAAAGTGTAATTTCCTTTCACTAATCCATGAGCGAATTTATCCCTAGTATGATCTATTCTACGATAAAGTTTCCTGAAATTTGGCAATGCAGCGGTCCTCATCCAAACTATGAAATCTTCGTTTTGGAAGCCATTATTGTCAGGATTCTCCAAGTCAAGTTCATATATTGGTTTTTTCCATGCTATGGGTTTCTCAAAATTTGAAAGGGCTTTCTTCAAGTCACCTTCCGGATTACGAAATTTAATTTTTTTGTCAGATTCCCAGGCAATTTGTGTCCTGAGCAAGGGAACATCTATTGGTTGCTTCTCAGCATTTTCCCACATTTCTAAGGTGAGTTTATCTGAATACAAATGAAGATTTTCATACAGTATTTCATTGGAAGAGCAGAAAATTTGATAAAGTCAAAAACCACAGCAAATACTTACCATTGAACATAGAGTTAGCTATGGCTCCACAGGGTGCAATGGGTCTTTTCGAGTTGTTGCTTCGATTAACATAAGCAAATGGGACACAGTCACCTGAAGGATCAGCATCCAATCTTCCAAGTAATTGATTATCATCTCTAGATTTAACATATCGACGATGGTTTTGGTAATAGTTACTCAGACCATAATACATAAAAACTTTACCCTGAAATATAGGTAGTAATCAGGACGAAATATCAAATTTTTTCAGACATATACAAGATTTGTCAAAAATCATGAATTTTGTTCAGGAGTCCATTACATCAATTTACAATATAATTTGTTATATCTGTCAATTTACAATAACAACAAAAATTAAACTATAATTATTGTACATGTAATCTAGAAAGCACTGATAAGAAATGTTTCATAGTGAACATCAAAATGTGTTAAAAATCAAAAAATACATAAAAATAATTTATAAACACCTAGTTGGTGATTTTTTTATTGTAAAGTAATAGAATTGCATATTTGAAGGTGATTTCTAAGTCTGGTCATCTTTTTTCCAATAGATATTTTCGATATGATTAAAAATTATAATTTTTGATGAAGCTCATAAGTACAACTGAAATAATGTGATAATCCATAGGTTTCATTTCTTGCAGAACTTTTTATAAAGAATACATTATTTTTTCATAAATTCAATAACAAAAAAATTTGTCATTTAAACTCCACAGATACTTCAAAGAACTGTGGCATTTGCTACATTTTGAGCATTTACTCAATATATATTTTTCAGTTATAAGTTTACAGACATTTATAAACATGTGGTTTATTCATGTGTTGACATTTTATATCTCCACTATATTCATTGAACTTTTATCCTGTTTTTTATTTTTATTTCATGTTTCATAATTATTAATTTTTATTTCATGTTTCATAATTATTATTTTTTATTGACCTAAAGTGCATATATCTCGCCAAACAATCACATTCCCAGTTTTAAAAATATTTTTAAAGTAAAAGTGTTTATGAATTTCAACATCCACTTCTTGGTTTTCAGAAGTTATTCGAAGAAAACATTAAGAAAATTTGTCAAATTTCACTATTGTTCTATACTTCTTTTTTTTTAGAAAATCCAAAGCATTATTTGATTGTCAGTGTATTATCATTTTTTCCAATTTAATGAGAATGAAAATATCAGTAATACTTTTTATTAAGCAAAGCTGGAATTTATGGCGTAGAATGAAACTAACAAAATTATTAGGCACAAACCTCTCGTGATAATACTTCAACTTTTTTTAACACTACACATCTGCCTACCTCAAAGTCCTTATCAAGAATGAAATTCACTCTACAGATACATTCTTGATTTGTATTGTTATGAATAATGCTAGCACAGGTTTCATTTGTCGTTGTCCAGCTCTTGTTAGTTCCAGTGGTCATGTAACAATCTGTGTAATCAATCACATGTTCTTTCACTTCATCTGAAAAATAGAGGAGGCCGATACCAACGGGAATAAAAGCTATTCCAATAATGAAGAATGTTGGCAGGACAGTTCCTGCAGTTAATATAGGTTGCCATGCTGGTAGCCGCTGTTGTTTGAATGCACTATCTGCAAAAGATAAAGCATTCAAATTATTACAAGAATGAAATTTACTTTAACTTTAAAATATGTGACATATAAAGATTCATCAGTGTGAGCAAAGTGATAATGTAATACAAAATACCTTACACATTTCAGCGATGTTATGCGACTAGGAGATATATTTGAGTTTATAGATAATCCTAACATATTATTGATCAGTAAGAAACAGAGCTTATTATTTTCAGTCATGAAAAGGTAAGGCATTTGTGCCTCGCCTTGACCTGAGTTGAAAGCAATCAACAATTCTTCGAAAAGCTAGAATCATATCCGAATGCTTAATAATTGATCATCTGTGATCAATAAATGGGTGTATGAATTGGGTATGTACACATTAATGTTTAATTTTCAATATTTTCGCACTCACCGGAAGGCTTTTTTGTTTTTGTAGGTTCTGTGCTATCTGGGGCCATCAGACTTGTAGATCGTGAGGTTGAAGTTTCACGTTTTTTTAATTGTATCCAAATTTTTAGTAATTACACCAAATAGTCATGAAATTTTTATTTACCAAGTGTCAAAATCGTATGAATGTCATTTACCTCTCTCTTGTCTTGTACGTTAATTTTTAGCTATATATTCGCGTTCATCCTATTAGGTTGGCAATTTATATCCATGACGTCACAACTCACACTTCGGCATTCTATGCATCTCTTTTAACAGACATAAAATAATGATTAAATTCCAAATATATTATGGCTGAGCCTGGAGAAAGCCAATAATCTAGATAACAACTGTGTCAGAGAATGAGATTACACTAGAGGTGTCGTACGACGGTACAAGTCCCGACGTAACAGATGAGCAGCGGCGAGGAGAGCTAATGACAAGACAATGATTATACAAGAGATTAATCAACAAACTGGACGTGATTCTGCCAAAAAACCTTAATAAGAACGCTCTGGCCACATTATATGCCTTGTCTGAACCTAACAAAGTTACTGCTTATCAGCTTACTACTTGAAACGACATCAACGGATACTTTCTGTGTTAAGTGTGATTGCTGAGGTCGTTGATAAATTATTTTCACAAGGAACGTATTATGCAGCCTTGAGAAGACGTCTCTTCCAATGCTAAAACGGATGCAGAACAGGTAATCTCTAGATTATTATCGAAAGTAAATACCACAAGACCTCCAAATTTTATCGATAAATATACATTTTATGAGTCCGCAAGACGAGTGATCTCATCTATTGAAACTAATTTACAGTTTATTGTATAATTTTCACATTAAAGGGTTTTACAAAAACCACAATACGTGTTTCGCTATACAAATAGCTTCCTCAAGCGTAGCTTTACGTAAACTCCAGTTTACCCTTTATAGTGAAAATCATACAATAAACTGTAATAATTAGTTTTAATATCTATTTTCATCAAGTATCGGCCAGTTCTATTCAATTATCCTATCTATTGTTGATTACTCCATTGGTATTGCTCAAAAAATAACAAAGTTTGAATTTGAAACAATGGCCATTTACCTGAGAAAATTATTAGATCTAGTGGTATTAGTATAGAATATTTCCTGGAATATTATCAGCTGAATGCACTATACCAGTAAAACGCAGCTAAATAATTCAACTACACGTTACGTGTTTTTTTTCGATTTCAGAATAAGGTTTCGATGCAAGATATCTGAATATAATATATAAATATTGATGTTCAAGAAGAAGTTTGAGTTGAAGGAATTTGTCATATTTTCGTGTGGTTATGTGAATCAGTGAAATGTAAGAATCCGATTTTCATTTCAGTCTGTTGTAAATATTCATTGTATTGGTGACTTTTATTTGATTTTCATATTCATTTGAGTTGTCTCAGTGAGGTTAGGATATCAAGCGTTTCCATACGTCTAAAAAAGAGTTTATAAAACCGCCACCTCCTAAATACGTCTACTTGGTTAGTGAAACACGCGTCGAGAAAAGTGCATTGAAAAAATTGTTTGGGAAAAGTGCTTGTTTTTGGAACTACTTAGATGTTGATTTCATGGCTGTTAACTTAATTGATGTCGTTTATCACTGTAAAAGGTTTTTTTGGGGGCCTAGCCTTCCATTTTTTATCGGTTTGAAGAAAATATTCAGATTAACACTGCGGTAATAGATTGATACCGATAGATTTTTATTCGACAACTTTATCATATGAAATACATTTCAACGTGGCCGATTTCTGTACTTGAACATGCGTACATAAATTATGCAATTCACAGATATGTTTCAAAAAATATTTAAAACAGAACACAATTAAGAAAGTTTGGAGCGGGCAATTCATGTGGCACGGTCAGCAATTCATCAATGGTATGAAAACAATGTATTGAAAGAGGATTTTTCAAAAATCTTTTGAATCCATTGTTTGCCAAAGATTTTATTTCTATTGGCAATTTTTCAAAGTGTTATATTAGATTAGATTGTCGGGAAGCTAGCCCATGACCTGATTCACTGTTACCTTTTCAGATCTATTGTGATGCTCCTTGGTTGCTAGAGCTAATTGTCTAGCTTGATCCCTTTGAAGAAACTCCATAGCCTTGACACTGACCCCTTCATATAGCTGGCAGTCTTTGGTTTCTCTTCCACACATATTTACGTGCGCCTCTTCGCATTCACAGAGCACATGCAGTGCGGTTTCTTCCTCTTCTTGACAGAACCTGCATTGGTTTTTTTCTGTTAGAGCCATGTTGCTCATTTATTTCCCGAGTCGGCTATGCTTGGTTAGTAGACCCACCACTACCCTTACAACCTGAAGGTTGTGGTTTAGCAGGTCTTCTGTGAATCTAGGCGATGTTTTTTTTATAAACTCTTTCGCCTGCTTCATTCCTGAGAGCTTATTCCACCAATCTATCGATTCGACTTGCATCCATGAATTTATGGATGTCTTTATACATGCTTTCGCTACCCCGCAGAAGGGTTCTGGGCCGATCATGGCCTTGGATGCGCCTTCACGGACTAGAACATTGGCCCTTGTGACACTCATGTCCGGGTACCCAAGCTAGAGTGACCCTATTTTGGGTACTTAGCTCTTTGAGTGCGTTCAGACAGCTTTCCGCAAGTCTTGAGAAAACTTGAAATGAGCTGAGCGCCTTAATTGCCGCCTGGCTGTCGGAGAAAATGGCAATGGTTTTATTTGTGACCTTCAAAGTGTTGATATTTTGTGAATTTTGGGAAAGGAAGTTGTTTCTATTTCTCCATCTTAATACAAAAAAAAATGGGAATTTTGTTGAAATACGGAAAGTCTCAATTTGGGAAGTCTGAATTTCCCAGAAGTCCTTATGGCATTACTATGGTGGGAAACCTTCGATATTCCCGTGTGAAAAAGCTGACAAAGCTGACACAAAGCACAATAGTTAGCAACATAGGTGTTTTCTGGCGTTTAATCGTATTCGAGTGTGTATTCAAAAACGATTCATACTTACGTCATTAATAATAAGCCAGAATGGAATGATTCAATTTTTGTCAGATGTCAAATTCAATAATAAAAACAAACTTTCAAATTTTCTCTAACATCAATTATAATCGGATTCGTGCAAGTAATAATTTTCCAGCTTTATTTTGTACATCCTTACAACGTATTTGATGAAAAGTTTTCAACACTTTATAAACTATAATGATTAAAATAAAACAGAAACTGACAACTGAGCTAACGAATGTCAAATTCCGTTTCAAAACCAACCTCACGCTAGTTTTGAATCATAATTGATGTGACGTCATCGTTTCAATGCCAGAATGGATTTCAATCACAGACGAATAGGTACGTTTTGAATACATAAGCGCCAGAAAACGTCTCAGAAATGATTCTCTCTGTCTTTTGAAAATGAGAATCTCTAAGTGATTGGACACGGTTACACCATAAGATAGCGCCATAATTCAGATGAGAATGAATAATTTAATAGTATGATGTTAGTTGTTGGTAGAACAGGAGGACTTAAAATATTTTTCAGTCATCGCAATAAAAATAATTGAAAAAAAAGCTTTTCCACATAACTGGTAGATGTGAATTCCAATTCAAACTGTTATCAATAACAATGTCCAAAAGATTTACCGAACTATCCGAAACGTAATTGTTATTAATTTGTAGCAAGGAGTTTTTGCGTTTTGTCTCGACCTAATTTGAGGTTATTCATCGTAGTATTTAATATACTATTGTTGACCTCTAACTTACTTTAAAATTCTATAACTTATCAAGACTTTTCAATTTAAAATATTTGGAAAGGAAGGTTTTGAAGATCTGACTTTATTTCAATTTATATCTCATCTATTTCCAATGGACTGAAACTAAGCTTTCTATTAAGGAGTTTTATATAAATATAATATAAAGAAGATAAGATTTTTAAAACTTTATATACAGGCATTCTACTTAATCTTCACGTTTCATTTGCAGCTATTAATTTTTTTGAAAAGTTGAACAGTTAGACAACTGTGACGTATAAACTACAATTATCGCAGTAGCTTGTGCTATTATGAAACAAGATAAGCTCATTAAAATGTACTTTTCCTATATTTGAAACATCAAAATACCCTGAGTATCTTGAATAGTCCTTTCAAATGAAAAACATTTAATTTTTACTCACAGTATTCCTTTATCATTTGTTTTATGTCAACACACACTATTAAACCACATCACATGACGCCTGCCAAAGCTACCCGTAAAAAGAATCAATTGATATTCAATCTATTCAAATTGAAATTTTATGGCATTTTCTAACGCGCAACTAACTATTCGCCTATTCCAATTCAGACTTAGGTATATGAAATTATTGCTTACAAATAATGAACTACACAGCAACATAAAATACAAGGAGATTCGTCGACGTGTTACGATATGTGTGGACATATTAAAATTTCTGAGTGGCAGAATGAATACCGAACATAGCATTATTGACCCCTTTCATTAGTGAATCTATTTGAATTAAATAAAAAATAACTATATTTGTATAAGCGTAAAATGTTGCGCTCTACTGATTTTCAAGGCTAGTAGAATAGATAAGTTATACAGAGAAAATAGCATAATAGAAGTTTATTTAGGTATTCCGAGCAGAATATTTCATGTGTAAAAGAGGAATTACTGAAAAATAAAGTTCAGTCAAATTTCAACAAACTATTAAATACAAGAGATACACATAAATAAATATATTTGATAGTTTTTCAAGAACCTTTCTGCTGTTACGATACTTCTGAAGAGAAGACGAATTCTTGGTAAAAGTTGGTATGAGTCTGTGTCTTTAAGAAAAAAAAGCAGATTGTTAATTTGATCTGAATCAGTAGGTAAGCATATTTTCAAAATCCTCATCTTAATTGTATTTCCTTCCTTAGTCATGATAAAATTTGGGCAAACAGTGAGGAGATGTTTTACTGTCCATGGGTGAATGCCCAATTCTCAGTCTGCCAGGTTTCTTGAAAGGATCATAACTCTCGCCATTCTTTAAAGATATCTTAGGTCACGCTCATGAGAAAACACTGATCCATTAGTCTGTGTGGCCGACCTTGGATTGACCACCACGTTACAACTAGGGTCTAGGATTTATAGAGCTCCCCCTAATTGCCTTCCTTGAAACTTGTTGGTACCAATTTTTGCTAAAACCCTATTTCAACTGTACCGTTTGCAAGGGGTATCTTGAGCCTGAAAAATTTGTTCAGCCCTGTTTCTGAGTCTGTCATTACTAAACCCAAGTCGGTCTTGCACCGTTTCTCCACGTCTTCTGGTATACCAGAATACCAGTTCATTCAATAGTACCTCTTGCAAACCCTTGATAAATTTCTGTTGATTCTGAAATGATATCCGACACATATGGTCATCATAAATCTGGGTATCTCGTACACACGCTTTTGCTGGAATGGTTTGAAATTTGAATAAACTCATCTGTGAGGCTTATTGAGCCCCAGTACCACTTCATCGGTTGACCAAATTAGAAGATCTTCTACCAGATCAGTCTACCTACTTTAAAATACCATAGCTGGACTATTTTCAAAATGTGCTTCAAGGTAGAGCATAGAAATTCAGGTTTCATTAAGCGATAGTTTCATTAAGACATATAGCTTATAGGTTGCGACCAAAGAAGAAAATCAAACCTTCTTTAAATTCATTATTGTTATACGAATGATCAGGTATTTATTTTTGAAAACAATGGTGACTTGAATTAAATAATTTATAAATTCATACATGAATTCAGAAAATAGCGACTGCAGGTTAGATATAGGAGCAACAGGAAAAGACATTGAAAGCTCAGTAATTTGAAAAAAATCACTCAATGTAAATTAAGCACGATAGTACTGCAGTACTGAAGAGTCCTAAGGCAAGTATCCTACGGCAAAACATCGGATGTCTACCAGTGAGGATGACAGTATTCCATTTGAGTGAAATTATTACTCTTTCATTTAGTATATTGTGTAGGAATCCTGTGAATGATTTCTGGTTGATTTTCACAACGAATGTTTGGAATACAAACTGGGTAGAGAAAAGTGTTTTTTGTATAATTCAGTGTTCATATAAAATCATTTGTTTCGGAAGTATTTTTCTTACTGCTGTTTCAGGAGGGCTTTTTCTTCCAGTTTGTATCTGAAAGTTACTTCTTTGCATGATATACACATTTATGTATAGAGTTACTTCTGAAATTGATTGCTTCTTTCCTTTCTTTGGTCTGTTTCGGGAATCAATGGTAATACGAATATGTGCGGACTGTGATAAGGAGGACAAACTTGATCCATCTGGTGGTGGTTCTGTAGATATTCAAGAAATTCAGTTTTGGACTTGATTTTGACGTTTTCTTCGAGAGTATGTTTTGAAGTGTTGATAAAATTAAATACTTAAAGTAAAATACATTATTAAGGTACGTTTCAAAACACGGAGTCGAATGTTGTTGACCAAATGTTCTTTAATATTCTGTATGTTACACTAAGTTACTTTTTTTTACCTTCAACAAATGTCAAGAAGTCAGTAATAAACTTTTTGTTTTTAAAACTTAAATAAACTCAATTAAGGCGTATTCGAGCTTTGTTTACACAAACCTTACTTCAACCTAAATTGTCAAATATTCAGACTGATTTCTTCATCTTTCACTTCTTTCAGGATACTAGTCGATCTGAACTTTAGATGAAATTTTCAAGTAAAATATTCAAAATAATTGAATTTTTGATGTAAAAAACTATTGATGAGAATTCAGTTGAATTTTATTTGTAAGTAATAAAGTGTGTTATCTTTGCATTTATATACTCTCACACACCAATATTTTCTAACAGTTTACGCATTTGGAAAGAGCGAATTCAGAAATGAAAAACTTTTTACATGGTTAATATTTTGAAATGGTCTACTGAATCTCCCTGTAATTTCGCAAGGTTGAGCCATTAAAGTTTGTTACCTGCATGCGGGAAGTAGAACAGCTCATTGTATTTTTAAGGTTGTTTGTTTTCTCAGTTTCATAATCAAGAGGAAACCATCCATATAAACCACTACTTCCGAGCCTTTGAAGATTGTTTTAAGTTCGATACGCATTTAACCTTGAAGAGTAGGATTACATAATTATTAAATTACAACAAGTGTTTCCAATAGAAAGTTGATAGGAGTTGATTTCATTAATTGTCTGAGGTGATCATTTTCTACAAACGTCCAATTGAAGTTCGGCTACAAATACAGTGACTCAACTAATATGTATCCGGTACAAAAAGAAAACCATCCCAAAGTTGTAATATTGAGTCAAAAGAACAGTAGCGCGGTATTGGGAATTTTCTTTGAGAGATTAGCATTTCTCGAATCAACAATGGTAAAAATATCTAACGGATTACTTCTTTAAATTACTTGTAATTGTAGCCACATACAGAACACATATATTGGATATTGGTCATTAACCATCATTGGTTAATGACAGTTCTCAATTTTGAAAAGTTGAGCTATCCAGGAAACCCTAATAACCTATTATTGGAAATTTTTTAAATATCTTATATCTATCGCTATGATATCTACGTGAGATTCCCAAATAATTAAAAAATGGAAAAAAGGAAGAAACTTTTCGTTTGATTTTTCATGACTTTTTTGTTTTCATTTGCGAAATGAATGATCCTAGAAAAATAACTTCTTGAAAATAGTTTTGATCGTATTCAAATGGAATGATCTTCTCAACAGTTGTATTAATTACGGNATGAAAGTAGCTGTTTCAGGAGGACTTTCTTTCAGTTTGTGTCTGAAAGTTACTTCTTTGCATGATCTACACATCCATGTATAGAGTTACTTATTTTCAAATTGATTAATCCTTCCTTTCTTTGGAAGATTCTCTCATCCATTTTTTTGTATCAGATGGAGTAGTAGAAAGCCAAAAACTTTCTTTCCCAAAAAATTAATCACTCCTAAAAATATAACCCTTTCAAATCAATTCAAAGTTGTTTTCATAAAGAAAAATTTTCTAATTATCAGTAAGTTGTCGTATTTGTAAATTTTACCTACCAAAAAAGGAGCTGAGAAATTATCCAGATACTTATCTGAACGATTCGGAGACTAAAATCTGCCTTCGCTTTCAGTAACTTAGAGAGTTTCACTAAAAAGTTCGCACTTTCTACACTTGTTTAAAGTTCTCCATTACAATTTTCATAGTTTTCATATTGAAGAAGGTGAAAAAATAAAAAAAATAGTTGATATTAACAAATACTGAAACGTACTTTGCAGCTTACTTCAGTAGGCTGAAGAAAATTGAAAAAATCAATGCAATAAAATACAAGTATCTACTTACATTGAACTTTTCCGGAGATTTTGTTACGTGAATTCTTTTTAGTAGCCATGCTTGGCTTTCCATGGTTTTTCCACCATATTTTATCAACTCTTTCTCTTTTGATGTAAAACAAACAGAATTACCTAAACAAGTATCAATAATAAAATATTCAAAGCAGTCAAAGTCGTTAATTGATCGGTATGCCGTGGAATACGTTTTCAATAATTCATAAAATTCGATCGTGTTTTTTATTAAAAATATAGGCTAGTTTATGCTCGTCACGTCAGGCTACGGACAAAATATATTCGATAATATATAATGAAGACTATGAGTGAACTGATGGAAGTGCAAGTGCGTCCGATTCACGATTCAGAGATCGTAGGTTCGATCCCAACTCCGACCAGATATTTTTTCAGTTGAAGGTCGGTTGCTTCTGTAACGTTACATGGCTGATGTTATTGCGAATACCCACAATGCCACTCGATGTGGCTTGGGGAGTTATCAATATTGCCTACACAGAAAAGGACCAATAGGAACAATGACCAAAGCATTCAACGACCCAAAAAAAGGCTATGATCGAGAAGTGCAATATGTAATTAGCGCGTTGAGCCAAACGCCACAGAATATTGGTACCAGAAGTTCAGCTCCTCACACTATTTTGTTTCAATTTTGAGAACGCATGATCGAATTCTGAAGGGAACTATTGGATGCGCTGTGGATCGTTCATTTTTTGAGCAATATTTGTTTGTTTGAAAACTCCCAAAATACACTTCTTTCTATATTTTTAAATGTCACTAAGTATTGTTTTTCTGCTAAGAGTTGTATTATATTTTCCAGAATAATTTTAGTATGTTGATAGATTTGCTCAACCATATGTGATGGATGAATGAAGCTTACGTGAACTTATTTTGTGATGTTTTATAGAATAACGCTTTGAACCTCTAAATTGTTGAAACTTTTCAATAACAAATAGAAAATGTCACCTGAATTTTCACCTGAAATTTTGCTCTTTAGAAGATCTAGAATAGTTGGGAACATTTGAGAACATTCAACAATATTCCAGAACATCCTGGAACATTCTTAAATAGTGGATACTGTTTGGGATACTATCGAAACATCCCAAATCATTCTGAAATGATCAAGTGAGTTATATGGTGAGGTAACTCTCTATCCCTCAAACCTGAAGAAGGTTCCTGTTTCCACATGAAGGACGTGTTTTTGAAGATATAAAGGCTAAAAGTTCCGCCTCACTTAGTTCTAGAACATTCAAGAGTGTTCAAGAGCACCCCACAATATTCCAGAACATCCCAGAAAATTCTGGATTTGTTGTAAGATATTCTGGAAGATAAAAGAAGGTTCCCATTTGTATCGAAAGGCTATGCTTTTGAAGATATAAGTACTGGGAATGTGTAATCAGTCTTGGATGTACTAGTTATAAGAAATGCGGATGAGGGTGAAGAACTTGATGTATACAGAAATAATATTAGCACTTTCAGATTTATAAATGACGAGTTGTTGGCCGCGGCTTCGCCTGTGTAGAATTTGGTTTGTCACATTAAGTTTCGTCACAAGCAATTTCAAACAAATAGTTGCAATATTGTTTTACTAACCCAAAACTTCAGGTTTCCAACTTCAGAACTGACGAAGTTCAATACAATCTTTGAATTCCTATTTTTCCCCCTTGGGGCGAACATTCCTGATTCCCTTTCTCGATGCTTATTTACGCTAAACAAAGAACTCACATGTATATTTCAAGATTCTAGGTTCGGTAGCTTCGGCTGTACGTTAATATAAGGGCGGACAACAGCTAGTAATTCATATTTTTACTTTAAGAATACAGTTGAAAAATTCAACAAAAAACTCAAGAGTAAATTTTATTATCAACATTTCCCTCAATATACTAATCACAAATAGAATAAATACGTCATAAATAACAAATATCGATAAAGAGACAAGTGAACCACAAAACTAAGATACATAACAAATTAACATGTGAATTCAAAAATTGAATCGACATGAATTTTTCACTACAATTAATGAGAAAATATGCTTGAGTAACAAACACAATTTTCACAATTTCATTTAATCATCTTATGAATTTGAGTTTCAACAAGGCTATGTACATGTTTATACATAAGGTATTTTCCTAATAATTTTTTTAATTGACAATTTTNTTCAACAAGGCTATGTACATGTTTATACATAAGGTATTTTCCTAATAATTTTTTTAATTGACAAGTTTGAATTTCAGTATCATCAAGTGCCAAACATTAAACTAAAGAAGGACAAAACAATACAAAATTGAATACTGCAATTTGTACCAGCATGTAATTTAGTAAATAATGTAACAAATTCAATTCTAAATTTCATACAAATTGCATGTAGAAGGCACAATATAACTTAAGTCTTTTCTTACAGTCAAAATATTACCTACTTTATTACCCAGTCAAGCAAATACCTAGCTAGAAAATGAAAAATGAGAAATAAAACTTCCTATGTTTTTATACCGCTTGTATTAGTAACTATGTAACTAACGTTACTGCAGTTTCGTCCTACAAGACATTTTCAAAGGACGAAACTGTAGTAACGTCAGTTCCAAATACAAGCGGTATAAAAACATAGGAAATTTTATTGCTCATTTTTCATGATGATCTTCTACCACTTAGTAACGGCTACATCCATCAATTTACCTAGCTAGAGTTTGAAACTTCATCAACACCAAACAAGATAGAATTTTCATTATATGAGTCGAAAAAAACTTACACTGATATCAACTTACACTGATATTAACTGGGAACTTTTGGCACGGTTCAATACGAAGTAAATCCGAACAGCTAAATAAAAGACTAATGGCATTACTCTTTACTACTAATACAAAAATCCGTGTAGGTTTATGATAAATAAAATTGCACCATATTATTATATTATACCACGCTGCCCATGCCATTCAAAGAAACTGCCGACTTTCGGTAACTATTTAGTTTTTATGCCATTCGAATTGACTTCGTATATACTATACACAGTATGGTGGAAATGAAAGAAATAAATTCATTCTTTCGTATTTTGGTGATTGACGATTTTTAATTTCAATTGGTCATTCTATTAGATTTTATTGTATCTTGTCATCTGTATAACCCCGATGACGTCAATGATGATTTTTTCAAACAGAAACGTGGGTGATGCGGTACATAATTTGAAAGATCCTTTCATTCTCTATTCAACCATATCAATATTTTTGAATAAACTCCGTTTGTGAAGTGTCAAATATTTTTCAATATTACAATTAACATTTTTGTTTGAAAATAACAACCAAATTCAAAGCATATGCTCAAAATGATGACCCTCAGCAATAAGACCATGAGATAGTTGAGTAACGAAGTCATCCTGCAGTGTTTGAAGAACTTCCGAAATTTTCTGCGCCATCTTTAACCGTATGTATTCCTTGAGTTCATCGAATTACGTGGTTTATTTTTGTACACTTTACTTTTCATGAAAAGAAATCAAGCAGAGTGAGATCTGGTGACCTGTGTGGCCACAGGATTGACCCTCTTCGCCCAATCCAAGTAGTTTCTCACGAAGACCGAGTGATGTGGGGGCGCACCATCTGGCTGCAACCACTGATAATTTCAATTTGGGGACATCAATTAGAAGGAAAGTAACTTCATCTGAAAAAATAACTTTTCTGGAAAAACATTGGATATCTGTTATTTATTTTATCAGAATCTCGCAAAATGCGTCTATCAAAGTCATCTTCCAGAACTTCCTGGACTAAAAAATATCATAGGGGTGCCATTTTTTCTTTTTTAGCGTGGCAAGAACTGTTTAATTGTGGTATGTTATTATTTAATTAGTTGCCATGAATTGATACAGAAACGGTAGCAGAGCATCTAGTTTTTTTGTTTTCTGCTACTGGTTTCATAATTTATTTAGAAGGTAACTTACACGTTCCATTTTCAAGAATTTTTTCTCAATTTTGTTCAAAGTTGACAGCGAGACTGTTTCGAATCCGAATGTTTAAAAAATGCAAGTGACACTCTTTACCAATTTTTCTTGTCAGAATTTAAAGAAAGCCGGAAACTCATATTGAATAACTTGATATGATGATGAAAATATAAAATATTTTACACTTTACAAACGTCATTTATTCTATAGAAGTATTGATATGTTTGAATAGAGGATTTAAATACCTTTCTAATGATGCACCCTATCAAGCACGTTTCCTTTCATCGGCTCTCAGAATTTTTCCCTCCAATGACCGACTTACAAAATTATGAACGTTTTTTAACGTTTATGTTTAACGCAAAATACTTGGTCTATTGGCAATTATATCAAAAAAGGTGAGTATCGCTATTGCTCATGCATTAAACAAATAAAAATGTAATAAAGATGTCATAACATCCTAAATACATTAACATTAATTAGTCATAAAGCCAGTATATCAAGCTAGGAATGAGAATTTTCCCGGATATGGTATTTTATTATCTAGTATTTATGAATTTCCTCTACCTATTAGGAAAAAAGTCAAAGAATTAAAATATTTTGTTGACAATTGACGAATTACCCGCTGATAAGACTTTGCCAATGATATTCACATCTTCAAACAGCAGAGCATATTCGCATATACATTTCTTTCCAGAAATAAGGATGTATCATGGTTCTTTGAGTTCCCGCATGGTCACTATAATATTTCAAAACGTGTACTCAGAATTTTTATCCTGTGGCGGTTTATCTGGCCGTGGTCAGTAGGTTTTTGTTCCAGAGGTTTCGTCTACTACTGCGGTAGACATTATTAAAGGCGATGTGAAAACTGACTCACTATGTTATTGGAATTTTTCTTCGGTTTTATTCCATTGGTGGTGGGTTCGTTTTTGTTGGTAGGATGAAAATTAAGGACAGGCAGCCACTCTTTGATAATGCTAATTCCCTCTCACTTTCTATCGAAATTTTCTCTGTGTTTATGGATTTAAATTGCCACCCTCTTGGATAATAGTGCTTGTATACTATGGTTGTGTCCAGTGTTGTGTGAGTACCTTCTTTGCCACCACCAGTGGAATAAACCTGATAGCAAACTTCAATAACGTAGTATCTGCTTTGATAACAACTCAAGCACTTCGTCCATTGCCTCATAGTCGGTGATGTCTACCGCAGTTGTAGACGAAACGTCAGACATTGAAACCTACAGACCACAGCCTACAACCCCGAAAAATAGCTTCAACAATTATCTCCGACGGCAAAAGTTTACGTGTTTTAATTTTGTTCATCATTCTTTCATTTAATAGCACTTTCAATGATTTGGAAGTTTCACTTTTGCCATAAGAACTAGGTATGCCTTTTTTGTTTTTCCATCATTGGGCTTTGTATATGTGATTGTATATCTCAGTGTATTTTGTTTGTTTTATAAGGAGTTCTAACATCATAACTATTGCCAATTCCAGATTATCTTGAAACATTAAGTATGACGTCAGGTGATTTTAATGGCATTACTGTGTGTACAACCATCTTGTTGTTAAATCACTGTTGATTGTTTTTTGCATTCATTGAACAATGTACGAATTAGGTCAAAAAAAAAGTTTATCAAATGGACTTCTCCATCAAAATATTCCGCAATATCGCAATAGCACAGTACTTAATCTGTGGCAATAGTTTATACCTTTTATAACACTTGCAGGATGGTTTAATGTGTAGTGAAGGTATCAGTTAGCATGTATTTTCTTTCTATAAACAGTTGGAAGAAAAGTAAGATGAGCAATTCGTTCATTTTCTATTGTGAACTTCATTTTGGATTCTGATACGTTTGGAATGCCAAAATTTCTACAGAAAGATAAATAAAAACCCTAATTCCTTAATATAATTCAAAAGTGTATTAGGATTCTAGAGATGTTTCATTGAGATTATTCAAAACTTTTATTCAATGACGAACTACTCAATAAAACGTTTTCCAAACTAACTCTTGTGTCGGAGCACCTTTTGTATTTAAAGTGCTCCCCTAACAAGCAACTTAGAAATAAACATCTCCCTCCTGAAATCAATAAGCTGATATCAATTTACAAAGCGTGTGTTATTTGTATGGCTCCATGTCTGGAACACAGAAATGTAAAATTAAACATCAATCATAGAGAAGCATGATGCTATAGTTTATTTTCGGTAGAGGAAGTGTAAAGTCAGTAGATAAGTGGTAATAACGCCACATTACGTCTTTGCACGTTTAATTTTGCAAATTAAAGGGGTCATATATAGTATTTTGGAAACGGAGGTGGTGGCTATCAACTCCATCACCTAGTTTCATCAAAATTATTCAATTGAACAAAAATGTATGTCGCTAAACGAATTAGTATCATCAGGAGATAACTAACAAGAAAAATCTTAAAAGACAAAGTAAAAGAGGAGAAAGAAAAGAAAAAAACATAACTCATGATTCAGTATGCGCCGACTTCCATAATATATATCTTCTCTGAGCAAAGTATTGTGTGGAAATTAATTCTAAAAATTAGTTCACCGATATCTGCTATCACTTCGAATATCAATTTTGCTATGAGATATCACATATATCATATATTATAAAATAAAATTTACCCCCCTTTCTGCCGCAGCTGTCTGTTTACAGGCGATAAACTCAAAAACTTATGAACGTATTTTCATATGATTTTCACCAATAGACGGAGGGATTCAAAAGGAAGGTTTATCTCTATGATTCATAAATGTTTTGTGTGAATTGGTTGAAATATGATAATGTTACCGAGGTCCGGATTTAAAGGAGGGTGGGCGGGGTTACTGCCTCTGGGCTTCCACGAGAGTGGCGCCCCACAATAAAGATAAAAAATATCCAAATTTTGACGGGTCAGCAATTTTTGGGTTTTTCCTCCTAGAATTTTTTTTTGCATTATCACTAAGAATACTTGCACAAACAATGATATTGTTATCGATATATCAAAAAGCTCCGATTGCAAGTTTCCATTTACTATCAATTTTTGATTTGATGGAGCATTTCAGTGGCAATTTTTGTAATGTGTAAAAAAATTGGAAAAACGGTTGACCCTGAAGGTCATTCATACAACTTCTCTCTTCTTCGAGCTCGAAATTCAAAAAGTTATTCAACAAAATAACCTTAATGGAAATTTTTAAACGACATTATCTATTGAACGCGTCGATTTTCGCCCGCTTCCCCTTTTTTGATAATTTTTAATTTTCTTTTCTTTTCAGAGTCGTCTCAATCATAGACTGTAAAAAAAGCTTACTTTTGAAATATTTTCCTAGTATGAAAAATCGAGACATATTAGGAACATTGCACTCTTGTTTTTTCTTATCAAAGAATTCCTCTTAAAGGGCTCATCGTGTTCCCTTTTTCTTACCCCTGCAAAGCTGGGCGCTAGTATATAAAGAAAAATAACAAACGTACTGTCAAACATGTATCCACGAATATTTTCAATATAATAAACTAGCGATCTGTCTCAGCCCCGTACGGGTACAATTCAGAGTTGCACTTTTATCGTGAAACATACTGAGTTCAAGCTCATAGCTTGCAAACCTGTCCTAACTTCAGAATCGAAGTTTCGATACGAATATTCAATATGTACATAATTGACTAATTTGACTAATTGACTAATTTGAACAAAAAGTAGTTTTGCTTGGTAATGATGAGTACAATTTTCAAAGTATGTACTTACTGGTAAAATTCCTAAAGATGGTCTATATTTCAATAGTTCCCCAACCACTGCCGAATGACCTTTATGAGATGCTTTGAAAAGAGGGGTGGCACCATCCTAAAAATAATAATGACTTAAGATAACTTAACAGAGCCCAGACACCTGTCAACCCAAACGAGACAAAGTGCGATCTTCAATTTTAGATCGTGATGTTTTTTTTACATACATGTCTTGCAGCATCCACAAAAGATCCAGCTCTTAAAAGTTGTGCTACGATATGATCATGACCCATTTGGGCACCTATCCATAATGGAGTCGCCCCGTCAGTTCTTCTCGAGTCCGTCTCTGCACCTTGAGCTAACAAATAGACTAATACTTTGAAATGGCCATTTTGAGCTGCTATGAATAGGGGAGTAGCCTTGTCCTAAAAAACAGTGAAGACAAAATAAAATGACCGCATAAGTTGGAGTTGTGACTTCCTACGATTTCCCAATTTTGTAATTGTATGAAGATCTGCAGTGAACCGCATTATTCGTCGAGGATACGTCTCTAAGCCAAAAAAACCAACCTAATCTCGACGCGACACTTATTTTTCTTCCTTATCTTATCCAATCCTGTGGGTTGAGCTACCTATCGGGCGCGTCCCCAGGAGGCGGATAGGGAAACGGCCAGGGGACTGGGGGCCCTGTCCGGGAAGCCAATGTGACCTTACGAATGGGGTCGCCGGACTCCTGGTCAGTGGTAGAAATAAGTAGGGTGACGGGAACTAAAACCCCCCAAAAGCCTTTGGAAAACATGCCGCCGTGGACCAGCCTACCCATGCAAGCTAAGTTGTAAGGAATCGTGCCGACAGCTGAATGGCCGCAAGGTGATACGCGGTCACGAACGATCCTCTTGGGGAACTGGGCGAAACCTCATTGTAATCAGCCTACCGGCTGCCTCACTTGTGCACCTCCACGGAGGGAACCCCAAGAAGGTTTAAGAAGCCGCGCAACGACAGTAATATCGCTGCACCTTCCAAAACCTTCGCGGATGCCACCGTGAGACATCTCAAGTTTGCCAAAGAGAGTGTATGTTCGGCGAGTCTTGGCCTAGATTGATGATGACCTAGGAGGACAACTCCTCGGGAGGATGTACAATGGGTCACATGTGGCCTAAGTGCTGTGAGTCTACACTCACCCTCCCTACCTTACATGGGGCGGGTTGGTCATATTTATTCATTGTATCAATGCTTGCACTAGAAAGGCTCACTTATTGTGCTCGTATTCCTCAACCGAATAGTATTCCAACGATGGCTTTATCCTGCGCCCTCTCATCGTAGAAAGCCTTGTTACGGTAATGCAGGACTCTTCTTCTAGTACTACTCGTGGAAAGAGCTTTCCAGTTCTCTAACGGCTGGACATGCTAAGAAACCTAGGAGACTATCTGGTGTAGCCAGGAAGTGGCTTAGTCTCCACCTCAAAAATAGGGTACCTTGCATTATATTCTAGTAGTAGTAATGAGTGATTTTTTTGCTGGTATCTTTTTGGCAACACTGTTTTTGACAGATCACGCGTGAATCGTGTTTTGTGTCATTATTAAACTTGTTCAGTTTGGTCTATAATTTAACCATGAATCGACTTACGAATGAACAAAGCTTGCAAATTATTGAATTTTATTACCAAAATTCATGCTCGGTGAAGAAAGTGCATCGTGCACTTCTTCCAATTTATGGGCAGTTTCGTCGGCCTACTGAGGGAGATATTCGGAAGCTTGTTACTAAATTCCGAACCCAGTTTACATTATTGGACATTACACCACCAAGACGCATACGTAGAGTGAGGACCGAAGGAAATATTGCGGCTGTATCCGCCAGTGTTCGCGATGACCGTGAAATGTCGATTCGCCGCCGTCCGCAGCAATTGGGCCTCTGTTACTCAACTACGTGGAAATTTTTGCGAAAGGATTTGGGTGTAAAACCTTATAAGATACAGCTGGTGCAAGAATTGAAGCCACACGACCTCTCACAACGTGTAACGTTTGGTGGATCGGCGCTGGCAAAGTTGGAGGAAGATCGACATTTTTATCCAAAAATTGTGTTCAGCGACGAGGCTCATTTCTGGTTGAATGGATACGTTAACAAGCAAAATTGCCGCATTTGTAGTGAAGACCAGCCACAAGAATTGCAAGAGCTACCGATGCATCCCGAAAAAGTCACTGTTTGGTGTGGATTATGGGTCGGTGGCATCATCGGGCCGTACTTCTTCAAAGAAGACAATGGCCGGAACGTTACTGTGAATGGCGAGCACTACCGTGTGATGATTGACGACTTTTTGTTGCCAACAAGACTGTGCCACATGCCACTCGGCACGCGAAACAATGGCCCAATTAAGAGCCGCCTTCGGTGAACAGTTTATTTCACGTTTGGGGCCCGTTAATTGACCGCCTAGATCGTGTGATTTAACGCCTTTGGATTATTTCTTGTGGGGTCATGCTAAGGCTCATGTCTACAGGGATAAACCAGCAACGACTAACGCTCTGGAAACCAATATTGAAGCATTTATACGTGAAATACCGGTCGATATGTTAAAGAGAGTGTGCCAAAATTGGACCTTGCGCATGGGCCATCTAAAGCGGAGCCGCGGACAACATTTGCATGAAATCATCTTCAAACATTGAATTATATTGATCGTTCTATCGTATCCAATAAAAAATTCATACTTTTTTTCAAATTTTTTGTGTTGTTTTAAAAATCAAATCCTATACCTCTTAAAAAATCATCCATTATATTATATAGTAGTAGAAGCAGAATCTGCATAAGGAGAGGAAACAAAGTTCTCTTGCCAAAGTCTGCAAACGTTCACGATGAAACGATGGTTGAAACAAACCAGAGGAAGATCTGCTTTGCTGATTCCAATGTATGTATTCCAGCTGACGTACAGATGCCCTGAAATCTCACAACCTCTATATGGACCAATCAATTGGAAGGCGTCTCCTGGCTTGTGGGTGCATATAGTACCCTACAACCATCACAATAGACCTACTTCCCAAGCCACATATTCGTGTTTCTTGCCTACCAGACGAAGATAATCGTAGACTGACCGCCAATCGGATCAACTGGCAAATGTACCATAGTGTGCAATTTTGGAGTAGACTAGTCTTGGATCAGGCCTTGGTAGCAGAGCACATATATTTTGCCTGCCATATTGTGGACCGGATCAGGTTTTCAGCGTTAGTCTCACTATTGCCAGTTGACCTGTAAAATCACTCACTAACTAAGTAGTTGGACACGTTGAGAAGCAGGGAATATCTGGTTGAGTTTGAATGCATTTGAGTCACAATATGAACCTCTGCGGATTGTAGTGGAGGGTCGAATAGAGTCAGTCACTTTGTTCCTTCCTACCTGGTAGGTGAAGAAAGGTAAAGGAGAGATTAGAGAGTAAAACGTATGCTCTTGTGAGATTGCTCTATCTATATCTCTTTTCGGTACAGTTTGTATCCGCGTATGTGGTTCAACAGAACTGACCGCGCTTACTTATCAGATAGGGACGGACATCCAACTTAGTGAGGCGAGCTCAGCATGTCGTAGGTTGATCTTCAGTTTTATGGTTTAAGGACGTATCATCGGCGAATGTACTGGAGCAGATAATGAAATATAAAGATGAATTCAAGTATCGTTTGAATACAAATTCGTTGCAAGTTGATGAAATATCCACAGAACAAGAGTAGCTACTAATATTATTGTTCATATTAATTTCAAATATCCTTACCTTCATATGTGAATTCACTTTAGCCCCCCTTTTAACAAGTTCTTTGACTACGTCCATGTGTCCACATTGGCAGGCGACAAATAACGGACTTCCTCCGTCCTAAAACAGAACAATCCATAAAAATCTCGAATCAAGGATTTTTTTATTTTGTTACAAATCCATAAAAAGTTATCGACTGTAAAAAACCCGTTAGATTCGGAGAGAGGAGAGATTGGATTGGTTTTCTGCCCACTGATGAAACGGCACACATGTTTTGCGTAATCTTTATCGAATTAAATGAGTCATATATTTGAATATCAGCAACGATGAGGTTTAAAAAAATCTTTGAATGAAGCGGTCATTGCCTTCGAAAAAAGACCAGTGGGAAAACGGATAGATGTTGTTTATTATAAAATATGAAAATTCTCAATTCAGTCCAAAACATCAGAATAGATAATCTACATACAGTGTGTCCAAGATGAGGAGGACAGCAAACATCGGAAACCGTAGGCATACACATTTGGTTAAATTCCAATTATAGTTGCCAAAAAGGCTAACTTATAACGGATGAATATATTTTCCAGCCCATTGAACAGTCAGTAAACGTCATTTTGTAAATTTTGAAAAGGCGCAATAATATAGTGTATTTGTTTTTTAACTTGAAATAACACCAGAAGAAAAAATTGAAACGAAATTTCAGTTATTTTTCAATATATCCGGTGTTAATCAAATTTTTTTAAATTTCAAGTGATTCAAATTAACTTTTTCCTAATTTGACCGACTTTGTTCTATATCTCATAGTTTTCGATTTTCCCATTCTAGCCCTTCTTGCTTTTGACAGAAAGTAAGTACCTATATCAGTGTCACTTTGTACATGCCTTGTATTAGCTTCACCTGTATGTATGTATGTATGTATGTTTGTTTGTTTGTTTATAACTCTCAAGTTCGGGATCTGTATTTGACAGAATTATCAACATTCTTGCTTGATCTATTCGCGGGCAGATGGCGCTGTACGTAACCGAAATATCAATGGTCACTTTTCTAGACAATATACAGCTGATTGATCCCAAAGTTTAGATAAAATAAATATAGTTTAAAAAGACTAAACAACACGCTTTTATAGCATACGAAACTGAAAAATGTATCAGAATGATCAAAAGTTTTTTATTATACTGATTATAAATCAGTTGGATAAAGCGTCAGTGGTGACTTGCTGATGTTATTGTATAAGCTAACTATTACGCGATTCAGTTTATTGACATGATTGATTCGACTTCAACGATTTGGTGAAAACCATAAATGTAAGAGCAAATAATGTACTTCGTTTTACGTTTATGTGATGGGACATTATCTCAGTAACATTTTTGAGAATCTTGATTTCAGGTAAAAACACGTTATTCATTCAAATCAAATTTTTCTTGGAATCGAAGAGAGATTTTCTTGAATTTCATGAAAGGAAAAGGGGACGTTTTCATTACACCAGCATACATAGATTTTCTTGAACTATATGGAAATGAATGGGGACATAACCATCACACCAGCGTACCAAATCAACAGGATTCTTATTGTGAAATTATCAACAGGAGAGTATGGATATTATTCAAAACTGTCTCTATTCTGTCAAGGCTCCGGCCTCTATTGTGTCTCGGCTCCATTTGAAATGGTTCATGCCAAAATTGACAAAAAAAATCACAAGGAAATAAAATTTGAGAAGTATAGTTTGAAAAACTAAAAAACACACTTTTAAAGAACATCGAACTGAAAAGTTAAAAGTATTTTTTTTTAAATAAGCTTAAAACAATAACGAACGAAAAATACTGGTATTATTATGAAAAAAGCGTGGGCGCTTTGTGCCATATTTTTTGTATATCAAGTGCCCGTCGCTTTTTTCACAATAATACTAGTATTTTTCGTTCGTTATTGTTTCAAGCTTAAAAAAAATATTTTTAACTTTTTAGTTCGATGTTCTTCAAAAGCGTGTTTTTTTAAACTATATTTATTTTTACACGCTTTTGTTAGCTTCACTTGTATGTTTGTTTGTAACGGACTCCTTTGGACTTGATTTTGACTAACTTTAAACGGATATTTTTATTTTATACTTAGTACACTTATAAAGAATCGGCGTCAATACAATTATTTCATAAGTTTGTCTCATTATCCTGATCAGGTTCGCCAGGATTGAATAATTTCGATTGGTCCATTGGCGGAGTTGGTTAATGCGCGAGTCTTAATCAGCGCGAAGCATCGGCCTCACCAGTCGTGAGTTCAAGTTCCGTCCATGACTGGAAACTGGTGGCTACCTTGGATGTGGTAGCCGTTTCTCAGACTACCTCTCCGAAATCGAACCCTTATTCCCCGTTACCCGTTACAACCATGATAGAGATATAATCTACCTTCAACAGTTGATAAGGCAGACATTTGAATTACCTCAATACTCTAGAATTACCACAATTTTTCAAGTAAACGTGGGTACGATCTAGGGAACCATAACTGATTTAATGAGCCATTCGCGATTTCACCTTAATATGACACACATCAAAATTACTATGAGTAGATTGTCACTAAAAATTGTGTCTCTCCATTGCTACACAATAAATGATTTCGTATTAATAGTGACAGATAAAAACATTATACATTATAGGTTAAAAAATTAAAACAAATGGGCTTGAAGCAGCAAGCCAAACTAAAAAGTGGAAAATAAATAATAGTTTGAAAAAACTAAAAAACACGCTTTATTAGCAACACAAACTAAAAAATTAAAAATAATTCGAAACTCATTTAAGATTGTGAAAAATTAATAAAAATATAATTTGAAGCATTCCACGCTTTTTTTACAACAAAATTAATTTTTTTGTAAGTAGATTTATTCTGATTCCAGACTTATTGAAAGTCATTAGTTACATCAAGTCACTTATTATCGATGTTGAACACAATCTTAAATTAGTTTCGAATTATTTTCATTTTTTTAGTTTGTGTTGTTATTAAAGGGTGTTTTTTAGTTTTTTTTAAACCATTATTTATCATACAAATATTTCCTGTATTCATTTCTTGGAGGTATATATAAAAATACTTATGGAGAAGTCTTCTAAAAATCACTCTATTGATTCCAAATGAATATTGTCGATATTCTCTGCATTAATTATTTCATTTTTTCAAGGAAATATTTGGGTATCACCTTGATTCCTAAAACATTACGGTTAAAACTTCTGATTATGATTATCAGAAAAGAATAAAGCTGAAAATATGCTGGAAATAATTCTGTCAATAATCGAAGTGACATTCAAAGTTTGTCTCATATTTACAATACCTTCGTCCCTCATACAAATTTTTGCACCTCATTCTTTAAACCTCTTGATATATTTTTTCTAGTTTTTCATTTTATATTCATCGCCTCTGTACCATAACATGATTTAAAGAATTTATTCCTACATTAACTGTGATAACGTAGTGTTATCACAAAAAATTTCAAATATTTTTCATTATGAGTGAAGTTACACATTTCACATTGCTGTGTGTGATATATTTTGAAGAAAAAGAAATTTTAAGCTTTATACATTTCCATTGATATATGAAGAAATACAAACTTCATTATCCAAATATTAGATGTTGGTTTTAGATGAATGTGTGAAGATGACACATTCTTGAATAACTCCTTTTTATTATGAACACTGACAAAAAGTCTTTCCTGAATTTGTATGAAGTAGAAAGACAGAAAGTTTTTAACACAAAGTTGCTATTTCCCGTGATTGATGACAAAGCTTCAAGTCAATCATTCAGTATTTATGATTTTACCATAGGAAATTCTTTAAATTGGGGAATTTTTCCATCTCCTTACTAGATAACTATCACATAATATTAGGGGGAGTATTTGATATTTAGAGTTATCATGCTAAGGGTTATAGAGAAATGTGCGTGATATGACTGATTTTGACATATGCTATTTTTTATTATTCATTGATGTCACAAACTGTCAAGTGAAGACTCCTAAAGTCAAAAATGTAGAAAAAAATTATATTTGCGAAAAAATTCCTGTAACATTATTGAAAATCCAAAATTTTTAATGATTTTTCACCACATTCGATATATAATCAGATCTTTCTACCAAAAAATCTATAATCAGCGACATTTTTGTGAGGATGCATTCAAAAAAAGGGGCGAAGCATACGAAAACCAATATATACGAAAGCAAGATGCAGAACAGTTGAAAGAACTGAGGTTAAAAATACAAGAAAAGCGAAAAAAGAAACTGAAAAAAGAACTGAAGAGATTGAAAAAAGAAATGGAAGAAGAACAAGAAACAGATCCAAGAAACAATTAGACATATACATGTTTTTTTTATGTAATGTGGCAGTATTTTAAAATATGAGTGTCTTTTGAAATCAAGATTCACGACTAATTTACGTAATATTCTTTTGTGAAGATCTCTAGCTGTTCAAAAATGACCAGAGTTTTTGATTTCACTCCCAATCTAATTGATAAATACCGCAAATTGAAAAAGGGGTCTTCAAGATTCTGCAGGTTTTTTTCATGTGTTATCAATATTTGAAAGTGTTTTTATGTTACTTCAAAAAATTTAGAACATTTTCATGTAATTCTTGTTAATTCTCTAATACGATCAGAAATGATTATGGTTGAAAAATAAATGAATAAAATAAAATTCTAAACTGAAAGATGATCCAAAACTGTTTCCAATTCAATTCCCAATTGTGAAAATCATGTACATGCAGAATGTTCAAACACAATATCCAGAACTTTTCTGTTTTTAACGACCACCATAATTATTGTTTTTCTTTGATTTTGCGGAATTTGTAGGTATCAAAGGGTAGAAAATAAAGTTTCATTCGTGCAAATTTATTTTTTCAGCAAAACTAATCTTCAAACTTTATATATCTGAAACTCTTCAGTCTTCCTTTTGATGACTGAAGTAATAGCAATTGCTTGCCATTTTCTTTGCGGTTAAATAAATATTAGGTTGTTTCAAAAGTTTTGTCCGCTGTAATGTCCTGTGTTCTCGTAGCTCCATATATCAACTCCATACATTTATGTTGTTCAATTTTAACTTTTTGCCTTTTCTCAGCCAGGTGCGTGCCTAGAGTAACAATACATCTATATCAATATCT